GGACAGCACTGGCCAGGCACAGTGGCTCACACTTGTAATCCCAGCACTTTGGGAGGCCAACATAAGTGGATTATCTGAGGTCAGGAGTTCAAGACCAGCCTGGCCAATATGGTGAAACTTCGTCTCTACTAAAAATACAAAAATTAGCTGGGCATGGTGTCGGGCGCCTGTAGTCCCAGCTACTATGGAGGCTGAGGCAAGAGAATGCTTGAACCTATGAGGTGGAAATTGAAGTGAGCTGAGATTGTGCCACTGCACTCCAGTCTAGGTGACAGATCGAGACTCCATCTCAAAAAAGAAAAGAAAAGAAAGGAAAGGGGACAGCAATAATATGTCAGTTTCATTTGGGTTGTTGGAAGGATTCAGAAGGTTTAGGGTGCTTAGCATGTGTAAGGAACAAGGATGAGAAAGTTATGGCACAAACTCGAGGCCAGACTGCGCAGGTCTGACCCTGGATTTACCTTCACCAGCTGCCTGGCCTTGGGTGAGCTTTTTAACTTCTCTGTGCCTCAGTTTCCTCATTTGTAAAATAAGATAATAAAATTTACCTCTTAGGATGTTATAAGGCAGAAGTTCTCAAACTTTTTGGCCTCAGAAACTCTTTACACTAAAACAATATTGAAAGACTTTTTTTTTTTTTTTTGAGACAGAGTCTCACTCTGCTGCCCAGGCTGGAGTGAAGTGGTGCGCTCTTGGCTCACTGCAACCTCCGCCTCCTGAGTTCAAGAGATTATCGTGCCTCAGCCTCCCTAGTAGCTGGGATTACAGGCACGCGCCACACACCAGTTAACTTTTATATTTTTAGTAGAGACAGGGTTTCACCATGTGCACCATGTGCACCTGTAATCCCAGCTGCTTGGGGGGCTGAGGCAGGGGAAATGCTTGACCCAGGGAGATGGAGGTTGCAGTGAGCCGAGATCGCACCACTGCACTCTAGCCTGGCGACACAGCGAGACTCTGTCTCAAAAAAAAAAAAAAAAGTAGTAAACACATTACATGTTAACCTAAATTTTTTTAACTTTTTATTTTTTTAGAGACAGTCTACCTACATTGCCCAGGCTAGACTCGAACTCTTGAACTCAAGGGATCCTCCCACTGGAGTAGCTGGAACTACAGGCTCACACCAAAGTGCTAGGTAACATGAGTTTTTTTGTTGTTTTTGAGACAGGGTTTTCCTGTGTCACTCAGGCTGGAGTGCAGTGGCACAATCACAGCTCACTGCAACTTCTGCCCACTGGGACTCAAGTCATCCTTCCACCTCAGCCTCCTGAGTAGCTGGGACTACAGGCACATGCCACCACAGTCAGGTAATTTTTTTTTTTTTTTTTTGGAAACAGAGTCTCGCTTTGTCACCCAGGCTGGAGTGCAGTGGCACGATCTCAGCTCACGGCAACCTCTGCCTCCCGGGTTCAAGTGATCCTCCTGCCTCAGCCTCCTGCATAGCTGGGATTACGGGCGCCTGCCACCATGCCTGGCTAATTTTTCTTTTTTTTTTTTTTTTGTATTTTTGTAGAGATGAGGTTTCACCATATTGGCCAGGCTGATCTTGAACTCCTAACCTCAAGCGATCCGCCCCCCTTGGCCTCCCAAAGTGCTGGGATTACAGGCATAAATCACTGCAACTGGCTTTTTTTTTTTTTTTTTTTTTTAAATAGAGACGGGGTTTTGCCATGCTGCCCAGGCTGGACTTGAAATCCTGGGCTCAAGTGATCCTCCAGCTCTGGCCTCCCAAAGTGCTAGGATTATAAGCATGAGCCACTGTGGCCAGGCCTATATTTTTTTTTATTTATTTTTATTTTTCTGAGACAGAGTTTTACTCTGTCGCCCAGTTTGGAGCATAGTGGTGTGATCTCAACTCACTGCAACCTCTGCCTCCCGGGCTCAAGGGATCTTCCCACCTCAGCCTCCCGAATACCTGGGACTACAGGCTCTCACCAGCACATCTGACGAATTTTTATTTTACTTTTTTTTTTTTTTGAGACGGAGTTTTACTCTGGTTGCCTAAGCTGGATGGGGTGCAGTGGCACGATCTCAGCTCACTGCAACCTCTGCCTCCCAGGCTCTAATGATTCTCGTGCTTCAGACTCTTGAGTAGCTGAGATTACAGGCACATGCCACCATGTCTAGTTAATTTTCGTGTTTTTAGTAGAGGCGGGGTTTTGCCATGTTGGCCAGGCTGGTCTCAAACTCCTGAGCTCAAGAAATTTTCCCACCTTGGCCTCCCAAAGCGCTAGGATTAAAGGCGTGAGCCACCGCCCCTGGCCTTAATTTTTTTTATCTTTTTATTACTTATTTATTTTATTATATTATTATTACTATTATTATTTTGAGATGGAGTCTCACTCTGTCGCCCAGTCTGGAGTGCAGTGGCACGATTTCGGCTCGCTGCAACCTCTGCCTTTCAGGTTTAAGCAATTCTCTGCCTCAGCCTCCCGAGCTGCTGGGATTACAGGCATGCACCATCACACCCGGCTAATTTTTGTATTTTTAGTAGAGACAGGGTTTCACCATCTTGGCCAGGTTGGTCTTGAACTCCTGACCTCGTCTGCCTCAGCCTTCCAAAGTGCTGGGATTACAGGCGTGAGCTACTGCACCCGGCCAATTTTTTAATTTTTAATTTTTTTTTATAGGGACGGGGGAGGGGGGTGTTCTCACTATATTGCCCAGGCTGGTCTTGAACTCCTGAGCTCAAGAAATCCTCCCATCTCGGCCTCCCAAAGTACTAGGATCACAGGCATGAGCCATTGCACCCAGCCCATATGTACTTTTTAAAATAAGAATAATGCTGTGCTCCAAAATAAATTTGAAGCAATCTTGTCAGTGGTGGTATTGGTTTATGCGTTTGCAAGTCTTTAGCGTCTTGCTCATTAGAAAGGAGCTGGTGCCTCAACACCGCTTCTGCACTGTCCGCTGCACTCCGCCGTTTCGTGTTGAGAATATGAGGAACACCCAGCCTGACACTGACTTGCAGCTGGAGAAAGGGAGAACCTCCCAGAGACCCTTTGGGTACTGGGGATCCCCGCCGTCCTTAGGCCACTCTTTAGGAAGCCATGTAGTCAGGATTACATGAGGTAATATTAGTAAAGCACTTAGAATAATGCTTGGCACATAGTAAACACTGCATATTTTTTAACTACACGTAAAGCAAATACTCAATATATTTTAAACTTTTAGAATTTGGGGCCAGGCACGGTGGCTCACGCCTGTAATCCCAACACTTTGGGGAGGTTGAGGCAGGAGGATCGCTCGAGTCTAGGGGTTTAAGGCCAGCGTCGGCAACATAGTGAGACCCCTGTCTCTATGAAAAAATTAATAAAAAAAACTTTTTTTTTTTTTTTTTTGAGGTGAAGTTTTGCTCTTGTTGCCCAGGCTGGAGTGCAGTGGTGCAATCTCGGCTCACTGCAACCCTCGCCTCCCGGGTTCAAGCGATTCTCCTGCCTCAGCCTCCTGAGTAGCTGGGATTACAGGCATGTGCCACCAAGTCCGGCTAATTTTGTGTTTTTAGTAGAGACAGCGTTTCTTCATATTGGTCAGGCTGGTCTTGAACTCCCGACCTCAGGTGATCTGCCCGCCTCGGCCTCCCAAAGTGCTGGGATTACAGGCGTGAGCCACCGCGCCCGGCCAACTTTTAGATTTTTAATCAATACGTGCCAGGTTGGGGTGCACTTTATGGCTACAAGGGCATTAAGATTTCCTCCCTCAAGGAGCTAACAGTCAGACGGTGGAAACCTATCTGCTACCACAGTGTGAAAACTCAGGATGCTAAGAGCAATTCTGGTGGGGCAAGCAGGGGACTGTGAGTTTGCAAGGGGGTCCTTAACTCCTGCGTGGGGGGCAGGGAGAGTGGATGGGGTTCTGGGTTCAGGAAAGGTTCTCCCGGGAGTGGGAGGGGGTCTGATGGACAAGTGGATTTGGACAGCCCAAATGGACAGGGGGCCTTGGGACAAGAGAAAACTCGTGGTGCTGGGATGCCAAGCGGGCTTCGCCCTACTGTGAAGTGGCGTTTATGTCACACGGAGCCAGTGATGGATGTGGCTCGGGGAGGAGCGCCCTGGGGCTCCGGGCGCCTCTGCAGGGGGCCGGGTCTGCGGGGAGGGTCTGCGGGCCGGGGCGTCCCCGTTTTCTTTCCGGGATGAGCCCCAGCCCGGGGACCTCCTCGTGACCCCTCCATCCCTCTCCAAGGTCGGGGCGGCTCCCCAGAGCAGCGAATCGTCCC